TCTTCTATCTTCTTCTCCTGCAGCTGGTTCCTCGACTTCCAAAATTTCATTTAAAAGCTTCTTTTTATATAGACGTTTGGCTGTGTAAATGACGCCTTGATCCATAGGCTGAATCAGAGAGGTTGTGTTTGCTGGCAAAAACATRMACGTAATCTTTTTATCATCGCTAGTGAGCTGTTCAACTTGTGGATGTGCTGGACAATTGTCCAGTAGAACTAAGGCCTTCACTTTATCGTYAGGAATTTTCAAAATTTCTGTTTGATATCTTCTAATTTCTGGCACTGCTTTTTTGTGAAACCAATCTAATGTAATGTCTGAAGTGAACCATGCGCTTTTCGAGTTGTAGTAGTGAACTGGTAACGTGTCCATAATATTTTTTATTGCACGTGGTTTTTTACTTTTTCCTACAATCACAGGCTCTAACATATGACTTCCATCAGCATTAGCGCTCAGCAATGCAGATACTCGATCTTTACTGATCTTCCTACCAGGCGTGCTTTTATCAGCTTTGGACGCTTGGGTACTGTCTGGTAATGCTCTCCAATACAACCCTGTCTCGTCATAATTGTACAGTTGCGAAGGCAGTATGTTTTCAGCTTTTAAAATATCATTCAAGTTTTTTCTGAATGGCTCAACAGCTTCATTGTCTGCACTAAGACTTTCACCACATATTTTTTTATTTGTTATGTTGTGACGCCTTCTAAACCTAAACAGCCATCCTGAACTGGCTTTAAAGTTATTTATGTTCAACTGCTTAGCTAATCTATCCGCTGCAGCCTGAATTTCAATTCCACGGACTGCCAMTCCAGAAGAACGAAGTTGACAAAACCATTTGTAAACTGCATCATAAAGGGATTGATCTAGTGGCAACCGCATTCTCTTCACAACACTTGTTTCTTTTTCTACATTAAATTTCAGAATAAATTTTCTTATCTCGTCTTTTTTCTTTCTTATGTCTGAGACGATTTGTTTAGCTATCCCATATTGCGCACAAATGCTTGACACAAATGCTCCTTTTTCGAGTTTTTCAATAACACAGAGTTTATCATTAAGAGAAAGAGACATATGCTTACGCTTTTTACCTTGACTAGGTTTACTTAACGACATCACAGTAATATGTATAAAAACAGACGAAGTATAAATTACGAAATGATAAACAAAACAAAAACACATACGAAAGGTACGAAACACTCCAAAGCGTATCAAGCAACCGACTGACGTACCGAACATATACGTATACTTATATATATAAATGGATTATATGTAATTAGATAACTTTAATGACAATTGGTATTGATAAATATGTTATCGCAATAACCCGCATTTATGGGAAATTTGTAGAACTCGTTTTCATGTTTATTTTAATCTACGGGGAAAACTAGCGTAATTTCTTATTTACGTATTATAAACGGCTGTCCGGATTAAGCGAAGTCCGGACTAATGAGGTCCGGATTAATGAGGTTCTACTGTATTTTTCAAAATTAAAGAAATTGCAAGGCYGAGCAGTAACGAATTTAAAGTTAAAATTAAGTTAATTAACCGTTACTTTTTTTCAAAGTTAATGTTTACCTTAGAAAAAAAAATGAATAACTTTTAACTTAACTTTATTATTTTAACTTATCGAGTTAAAAAAAAGTCGTAACTTGCCCGCCCTTGGTAATTGTATKTTTGGAAGTTTTATAAAGGGCCCGGACAAACATATAGAACATGGACTTGAAGTTGTATGTGGAGGCCCAGCTAAAGGTATACTAACAAATGAAAAGAAATGTTTTTATTATTATTGCTGGTATTGCAGCAGACACAACAAACTTGGACCATTGTTAATTATTGTTCGGTAAGCAATATAAATTACCAAACTTAAAATTGAAAGTTGGTTTTTATGTAGTAACTTAAATAAAAGACTGCTTTTAGGTTACACTAGTCACTATAAGTCTATAA